TTTCAATAGTATTAAATAGTAGTACTAGTATAATAGTACTAGTATTCTTTCAGTAGTATACATACCTTTCGCGGCTCTCACACGCAACCGATCTTTATAAATGAGATCTCTGAAGAAAGAAAATTCCTCGGATACTTAACGAATGGCACTTTGGCTTTAAAAATATGAAGTATTTTTTCTAAAACGATTCTAAATATTCATGTCAAATGCGACCCGCAAGACAGTCACATATATCATTAAATAACTCCGACATGAAGCATTATAGAGCCTTAAAAACTAAATGTTTCTTATACCGTAATCAACAGGTTGATATTTTCTTGGACATTCTATTGACTTGTCGGTACTTATCAATACTACCAATGCCACCTAAATTTCTACCATTGGAGATGTTTGTCTTCTTTGTGACGTTACGTTTAGAAGACTTAAATTCCTCTATCTCATACTATTTACAATTTCTGTGTACACCGTGGTTTGCGCAAACTGCGAGGTTTATTTGCATAATTATTATTTCAAGATTCGCTCTCGCAGCAACAACTGGAATTACTATTTATAGTTTCTTATTACCAATGAAAATTGTTTTATGCGTGTAATGTTATCATTCATTTAATGTTAAGTGCTGTATAACTAATTGTGGAAGGAACTACAATGGAAACAGACTAAATGTTCCTATTTCAGTTTCTCGATATCCTTAGGAAAAATTAGGGTGAGGTTTAACATGCGAGAGTATTCGCATGGGTACGCTAGTCCTATTTAATGCGATATAAATCGCACACGCTTGAAGATTCTTAGTATGATAAATTCAAATTGTTAAAATGATCAGAGACTTAGATTAACCATTATCGTGCTTTAACTAAAATATAAATTCCAGTTACATCACGGTCATGAGATAAGTTTTATCGCCTTTTATCGCGTTAAAGTAAATTCTAGGAAGAACTCAGGTAACATTTGTTTGAATTACTGTGGAAAATTACTGGGCAGTTCGGCACCCCGAGCCTCGTGATAGGTGGATTGTATTGTAATTCCAATTCGTCCTACTACGTATCGTATCAAATTTTCATCACACAGTTCATTCGTAAAGATTGTATAAATATGGATAGAAAGAAAGGGATTTTCTTATCTGCACAATATTGAAGATGTCCACTTCAAATTGCTCTTAAATGATGGAATGTGCTTGAATGAGAAGCGATAAGAGCACTTCAGAATTACCGGATAAACGCAACACCAGCGGCGTAGTTTGATGGAGAGTGCGGTTAACTCCCTCCGTAAATTTTCAAACTAAAATATTTATTTTTGTAACAAGTCCTCTAAATTAGTCTTTAAGAACGAGAGCTTAAAGACGAATACAGGGCGTGTTTCATACAATGTTTTTTGTTATTTCTATTTATTTTAGTTATTCAGAAGAAACTGTGAGTTAAGAATTGTTACTCTCGATTTTCTGTAGCGTCGGTTGTTGGTACAGAGTCTTGGTACCGTTTTTAAATAACAATCGCTGTGCGCGTGAGGACCAAAAGGATAAATGGGGACTCGTGGGACAAAGCGGGGAAAGGAGGAAGAAGACGGCAAAGGGACAAAATGAACAAAATTGGGAAAAGGGGGACAAATTAGTCAGCGAGCACAAATGGACAAATGCGACAAAGGGAAAGGGGACAGAGGGATAAAATGAAAACCTGGAAGTAAGGGGCAAATGGGACAAGGGTCTAAAATGGGTCAAGAGGACAAAATGGGACAAGGGGAAAATGAGCCAACGGATATAAGAGGACATGGGGAACAAATTGGACAAAAAGGACGAGGGGGACAAGTTGGACAAATATTTCAGAATCGATTTCTTGTAATACTGATGACGATAAATGTTACGTCTTCAAATGGCATTACAATTAGCGGTAATTTAAAAATTGTAACTTTAACAAAACAATTGTAAAAATAAATTTTGTTTACATTTATTCCCAAAAATTCTGTTTTTTGGTAACGACATATTTATCCAAAGATTTATGAGCTCTGGTAAAATCTAAACCCGAGAGTTCATTAAAATGTTTCAATGGATTCCAGCATTTTAACGGCCGTTGCTATGGATGCAGTCTCAATGCTTTATTTAGATGGTATCTTGCTAAGGAGCTAAGCGCGTGTTTATAAACTTAAATAACAAAAAAATAATTTGAAAAACAATTTAATTTAATGTACTTGATGTTGAGGAGAATAAGTGCTGGAATTTAGTGCAATAGAGTTTGTTATTATTTAATTTCAGTTTCAAGTACACTTTCGTCAGTTTGCACTTCACTGTTGTGTATACACCGACCCTCAAATTCCTAGCATTGCTTTTTAATCTTTCGATTTTCGGGTGAAGTCTAAAATAACCTCAAAGTCATTCTTTTAAATATGTATATGGTAAAACGAAAACTGAGTCGTGTTCTTTTTTTAATGATTGTCAAAAAGTCATAGAACTAAAAGCGCTTAGTACACAAACCTCTAATTTCTTAACAAACTATTTTTCTCTGCCTGGCATGTCATTCCGTTTCCTATTCATGTCTATCACAAATGTGCACTACTTTCGCGCGTTGGTGTCAATGTTAGAAGCAATTCTTCGGATTCTCCATGATTCTCTGTGTGTTATCTCCAATCAGTGGGATCGGTTGCGTTTAGCTCAGAGCAGCATTACCAGTGTCTCTACAGTGGGTCTGACTGGGGTTCGAGCCCCGGCGGTGGCAGAATTTCGACACTAGCTTGACAGCTAGATCGAATTCAGCCGCTGTCTGGAGGAGTATTTAAGCGGCAAGCTGCTCTGATAGGTACCTTTCCGTGGTTTCTCCGATCAAGTCAGGCGAATGCCGGAGCAGTACCCTAACAAACGGGCCACGGATCGCGCACGATCTTTCATTCCCCTTCTTTGAACTATCGTCTCCCCTTACACACATTTACACGTATATGCACTACACAGTCACACTTGTCACTAGACCAGCCGAAAGCATAGAGCGTATTGTGGCGTCTCATAGCGGGAGATACCTGGAGGGGGATATTCCCACAAGTCGACGTGTAGGTCAGCGCCATATCTCAGCAACCAGCTAAGGAATAACACCGTCACCGCCCGCGATAAAAACATTCACTACACTAACAGGAGTAATAAGCACAGCAGTTGACGTGCCCGGAAACCAGTCCATTCGTGGGGAATATAAGGGAAGGATTCAGGGGACAACATCCCACGCAGAATCTTCAAACAAAATTTACTTTTACGTAGCTGAAGCACCTTGCTAGGCCATTTATTAACCGCAATCATTTACTTGACAGGAAAATGAATGAATTTCACGTATTTACGTATTCCAACCCTGCCCTGCCCTGCTCTCTCCAGCTCCGACCAGCCTGCCCATCACTCAATTTTGTTTCAAAAATTGGCAATTTTAAAAATATTTTCTCAAAAAGGGTCTGTTGGTACGTAATGGTTGGTAAGGGCCTCTAAATTAATTCAAATTCAGCGCTACGCTTTGAACAGCTCAGTTTCGCTCCTTTTTGAAAGCATTTTAGAAAAGATCATATATTTCAAACTTCCCGCCTCGGAGATTCCCGTGTCCCATTGTCCTATTTTGTCCCCTTGTCTCACTTCGTCACCTTGTCCCATTATTTCCTGTCTCATTATCACATCCTGTCCCATTTGTCTCTCTGTACCATTTTGTCCTCATGTCCCATTTTGTTCATTGTCCCACTTTGTCCCCTTGTCCTATTTCTTTCCTATTCCCATTTTGTCCAATTTTGTTTAACACATTAAATTTATTTGAATGTTGATGAATTTGAATGAATTTTACATATTCTATGAAACGCTACACAATAATGCATGTATTATGCATTTAAACATATATACTCAAATACATGTGAGCAGATATTTGCTTCTGAAAAGTCTTGTGCTCTCTTTGTTTTGTGCACTTGATATACTTTGCATAACGATTATTAAATAAAGCAGTTTGAGAAAATTGTTTAAACAATTTTCTCAAACAAATATATATAAATAAACTGGAGCCTCTATTCTGAATTTGTTTCAATGTCAACATCAGATGAACATCTCACAGATTTTCTTTATGTGGCACATTCATTGGATTACAATTTACGCACTACTGTCAAGAGATCTTGTTTTGTTGACGTACATAGAAAAATTAACCTTCCACGTTACCATCTGGTGACTTTGCTAAACCCTTAGTCTCTTCTAGGATACCCGTAGAAGTCTCCCGCTTGTTCTTACTGCTGACGGGAAAGATTTTCTCTCGATCGTCCTTTTATTTCCTGGTTTCATAAAGGACATTTCAAGATCGTCTAGAAATTGCCTTCTCGTTAAACTTTTTCCTTACTGTTCTTTACATAAACATTCAGTGCATCGATTGCAGAGATATTCATAATGGTTGTCAGCTTAGGTCAGAAACTGAATGGCGCGTGGTCACATGGATTACTATTGTAATCTAAGTTGTTTCCGGCGCTTATCGCTAGTGCAGCATTTATCACTTGAGTCGCATTTCGCTATAATTCAATAGCTGGAGCCTTCTACGAAAGGTATTTAAAAGACCATGCCAAAAGTTTGTCAACTCTCCCTGTAAACAGGGAATGAATAAGACTGGATTACAATACTAATACACGCGACCACTGAAGGGTTAATATCCAACTGCGTAATATTATCTAACAGCGACTTTTGAAGTTTTAGAAAAAATATCCGAAAGTGAAAACGACGTAATTTTTGTGAATGCAATTCTCTCACATTTGATTTAGCGGGCGAAGTGAGCAAGAAACAAAATACGACACCAAAATGGCGTCAATCAGTTTAACCATTACGTAGAATCTAAAAATCAATGGCACGCAAAAGTTTAATAAATTAATCTTTAAATCATGCAAAGTAAATATCGTACGCACGATGAAAATGTTTAACTTCTACTTATAACTGTAATATATTCTTTTTTATTTACTCGTCAAATAAAATTGTTTTCTTCTGACAGTACGTAAGCCATATATCCTATTTAGTTGGCAACACACGGACGCCATTCATGCGAGTGCGTCATCAAGCCTTTAAAGTGTGTTTGTGTTAAGTGTTTATTGCTACTAGTGACACCATTGTTAAATTTCCTAGTAAATGTGCTGAGTTTCTAAGCAGTTTTTGCTTATTTTGAAGTTTTAAATTGCTGGAAGTTAATAGGAGCCGATCTTATAGTGTCTGTGATGAGCATTCTGTGGTTCCCGATTCCTAACCTCTCTATATGTCCGATAATCGCCAGTTAGTATCTGACATACAAGAACTTGATAAAAACATCACCAACTGTGAACAGTTTTTTGCCAAAGTGCTGAATCGAAAAATAGAAGGCTCGCGGCAAGCTCCCGCGAACAAGAAGAAAAATGTACCCGCGAAAAGTTCGTCACGCCCGCAGTCCAGAGGAGGAGGGTCTCAGGCATTACATCGTGCCCCCTCAGCTGGTGCCAGTAGTACGAGAACTACTACAAAATCCGCTAACCCTTGTAGGAAGTCCGTTGCCGTAATCCATTCACAGCCAAGAAAGGCTTCGGCCGATCGTCTTCCAAAACCGAAAAGCAATGATGGTCACCAACGTAGGCGCAGTAACAGTGCTTCGAGGCTTGTATCAAAAAGTTGTACGTGTGAACCACCTACCTTAGAATCTTTTGGTAAATTTCCTGTACATGTCCCGAGAATTTCAGCTTCAAAAGTGTCCGAAATTCAGGTACCTGTCAAATTGGAAACATCACCTCGTACCCATCAATCAAGATCACCTGGATCTAAGAGTAAGAATTTATCATGGGGGCAGATTCTGGGGAAAAATCACCAAACTTGCAAGGTAGATAGGGGTCAGTGGGATATTCACAGTGCAAGACAAAACACTCATTCACATCCATCTTTTAATACAAAGATTCCGCATGATTGTGAACCAATTAAAGAGTGTAGTTCCAGTGAATGCACTGTAACAGCCTCATGCAATCACTTATTTAAAGTAACTGCACCGAGGCGCCCACAGGAAGAGTCCTTTTCTAGTGAAGGAACTTCTGGCTTCAGTTCTAACAATGAACTTCCATCCCATTTGACAAACAAGAGTATTCAATGTGGTTTACCAAATCCAGGGCAGAGACCAAAGTCATCCGACAGTTATCATCATCAACCAAGTTCATCTGCGCATTATCAACATCGAAGAGTGTCATCGTCATCATCTGGGGCATCAAGTCAGAAACCAGAAGAGAAAGAAAAAGTTATTGGGGTTCTAGGAAGTGATGTTTTTTCAATATTCAACCCAGTTCGAACTCTTAATTTTCTTGTTAAAGAGTTACAAGGGCTGTTGCAAAAGCATCGTAAGTAAATACAAATTTTACTTCTTAAATTTAGAAATAGTGCATAATATATTGTTTCCTTATGGATTCATATGCATATAAAATCTGTGAGCTGTTTGTTAATGCCATTTTCTTCTTTTCTATGTAACTGTCATTGCTGTTTAATTAATTAATTATCTTACTTTGAAGTAAATGTTGTGCCTACTCCTATGGTTTTGTTCGTAGGAACATGACATGTTTCTCTGGTCTTCAGTGAATTTGTTTTTGGAGTAACTACATCATCCTTCTCTTCCAATCTATCTTCTATTTTCGCCTTCCTTCATTTCTTTGCTGACAAATTTCACAAACATTTGAGGTTAGTTTGTGTCACTAGTGTTCAGTCAAATTGTAGTTTGTGCTTGCAAATCTTGGTATGTAATGCAATCCAATAAGTTGGTTTCATAAATCAGTTTTTCTTGTTATTTCCCCAGAATTGATTGGGAGCTAAGATTTAATTTCTGAAAAATGTACATCAGAAAACTATGGAGCTGTAAGATATTTTATTTATTTGACACAATTGTTTTCACTTGTCATTCATTCTGCTTAAAATTTGCCAAACATTCTCTGACTTCAAGAAATTTTTGTTTTTCTTTCCCCGAAGGAGAAGTAACAACTCAAAGGAGCGGAAAAAAATTGCCAATCAACACTGAAATTAGAAATGCATCTCTACTGGAACATTTCTCAGTATGTTCTTATTGCAATTTTGTGAAAATATTGTTGTGTTTTACATGTCAATTACATCAAAATTTTAAAATATTTTTGGACTTTGAAATTCACATAACCAATTGAGAAAAGTGGATATTAATTTTCTTTTTAATTTATCAGGTTTTAGTATGTGTCTGTACTGTGCAAAAATGCCAGAGTAGAAGTGCAAATCACTTGGATGTTTACATTCCAAGGATTGGAATCTTCTTCTGTTTTTCTTAACATTAAAAATTGACCTTTATGTTCACTAAAGTTACAGGTAATAATGAGGCACTTCTTGAACTGGTTGGCAAATCTTTTTCTACCTTCTTTAGTCATTCAAAAACTACAGAGGTGGCCAAATTATTAGACTAAATATTTTTCTCTGGCTTAATGGATTTTAATGAGTGCTGAGAAGCGCCTGACAAAACTAACTATTTGAAGTTTAACATTTGTTAATGTTATTGGAATTGTATAAATAGTTAATGGTACAAAGAGGCCTTAAAGAACCAATGGTTGCCTCACATAAATGAATAATTTCGAAAGCAATCGTGCATATCGATTCATGACTATGCTCCATACCACAACACAAAAGAAACTTGGAAAACATCTTCATGGTTTTGGTCAGTCTGGGTTTCAATGGGCTGCAAATTGTCCTGGCAAGAATCCTATTAAAACTGTTGTTCGATAGTTAAAAGAAATTTAAGAAAAGAATGCCATAAAAGACAACTCATAAAACAAGTCATTCGCATATGACAAAATGACATTCACATTGAAAGAGTGGATTAAAAATTGGTTTTCATTGTATCACAAAACAAATATATTAATTATGAGGTGTTTATAAAACATTAGAACCCTGTACACAGTGTCTGTCAATATCTACAGTTGCAAATACATTTTTGTCTTAGTCAATAACTAGTCTAATTATTTGGCCACCTTTGTGAATTTCAAAACTTAATTGGACATATGTAAAGCATATTGCAATTTATGTAAAAAATTTGTTTTCTTTATTAAAAATAATAATCCATTTAATATTGAAAATTACAATTTACAAAATTTGTTTAAATTTGTGACTCAACTGTTTATAACTTACGAGTAAAAAGTCAATAATTCATCACTATTGCTTTATTATTGCACTAGAAATATTATTTAGAACTGCATCAGTTGTTCATAAACTTTTGCCTGCTATTATTTTAGTGTTTTTCACCATTGCTTCATTAGAAAATTTAATAGATTGTCTTTAATGCCATAAAGTATGCTAAAATCCTGGTAGTAGTGTCTTGTTTGGCCTTAAATTTGCTCTTAGTCTTATTTTTGTTTATTTTAAACTTGGATCTCATTTGAATGCTATTTGCTTCTATAATCATCCACATAGATTTCTACACTTCTGATCTCCAGTAGTGTGATTATTTGAAGCTTCTTTTGCCTTCCACTTCTTTCTTTATTCACTTTAAAATAATGAAGACTGTATCGTAAAGTTGTACTTTAAATATAACAATAATTGCTTTACTTTATTACCACTAATTTAAAGTTTTAAAGTGTATTAGGTATTGTATATACCTTTACTTCATTAGATCTAACCAAGTAAACCAACTTATAATTATGGGTGCGTTCATAAATAAATGCCTTGATATGTACACATTTTTATGAAGTGCAATTCAAAATTTATTATCTCAGTTATATTATAGTAATTTCAATTTAATTGTTTGATAAACTATTAATAAAAAAATATTATTTTTCGATAGCAAAAAATATAGTTCAAAGTTAATGTTCTTGTAAAAAGATGTTAAAGTTTTAATTATAATATTATATATTGTCGGGAAGAAATCACTTCCAAGAAAAGTAATTTTTTTAAGAGTTAAGTCTTCAATTAGTGCCTTGCAGGGTGTTGAAGTGTAGCCACAAAAATCTTTCTTCATTGTGGTGTTTTCCACAAGAACTTACAGAATTTTTAAAAAAGACCATCTTTTTTTGCGCACCCTACTGTATAGTTTGCATTGTCAGAAATACTGAGAGATGAGCATGTAATGCAAATGGACTTGGTACAAAACCAAAATGTAAACCAAAATGTGCCAATGAAACAGGTTGTTCACAAGGTTGAGTTGAAAACTTTTATGCAAGTATGGGCTAATGGAGTTGGATACCTGAGACACGTAACCTTCAATAATTTGAATCGACCTGTGATTAGACCTATTCTTAATGTGCACAAAGTGCATGATTGTTGTGATAGGAGTAGAGCCAGGGTATGAATTGCTATTTTGTTAGCAATACTACCTAGTCTGTAGTTTGTTTACCAATGCAAATAAATTTTCTAAAACTTGAGGGAGGAAATTTCTAGTTTTTAAGTGTTTTAATCTGTTTGAATCTATAGCTCAAGAAATTGTGTGCATATTGTACTTCTCTCTCAAACAACACTTACAGTTTTTACTTATTTTTTGTTAATGAAAATAAATCAAATATAGTTTCAACATGCATATCTTATTTTTGCTCATTTCGTTTGTGGATTTTCTTTTTGATCCGTAGTTTCATGAAAAGGAATCAAATGTTCTATAAATATCTGGAAAGTGTTGTTTTATCTCCATCTCTCAGATCATGAAATTTTAATGTTCTACTCTCAGGAATTCATAGAAACAATTTTAAACCATAAAAGAACTGAAACTTATGTTCGTATTGTGAAAACATGAAAAAAGGTACATCAATGGATTTTTACATATTATCAAGTTCTTTTTTTCAGTATCACATACATTGTTGTGCTTGAGAAATGTTGATATGAATTTTTTTGTAGATGAAAGTTGTACCTTTTTTGTAAAAGAACATTTATTATGTAACAAAAGCTACCCTTGCTTTTGTGTTTTTGCCTTTTCTTCTCTTCTGAGTTAGAAATATGTAACCTGTTTAAAATGCAATTTTTCCTGAATCGCAAGTGTGTGGTTTATTCAATGAAATATTGTACTGTTTACATTTCATTAGATCATTTTTATAACAACTAATTTTAGACCATTTCTTACCAATTGTTTTAAGTGATTCATATTTGTGTTAATTAAAAAGTTGGTGTGCTTGGATTATAAGAAGAAAGTTGTTCTTGCAAGAACTTTCTATAACTTAGGATGTTATAGTAATTTCATTTCACCCGTATGGAAAAATCTTAGTCTTGTTATAGACAGAGTTGAGTGTTTTGAGATTCAGAAATGTTTCACCTACCCATGGTAGTAAATGGAAGACCTTGGCACATCTAAAAATGTTTTAAATGTTACCACTTTCCTGGTTTCAAAAATTATCTATGTCCGTTAATTGAATAACATTATGCCGAAAGTGATGAACACCCAAAAATGAAAATAAAAATTAGGTGGTTGCTGTCAGGCAGTTAAGCACTGTTCATTTGATTTTCTCAATGTATTCAAGTGGTTTGTGCTGTGTCTTGGCAGACAGAAAAGCTAAATCACATTTACTGCTTTTATGTTCTTAATTGCAGAAGATGACTAGTGATGTATTTTACTGGATTGAATTATGAACTAATGTGGATTGGATGTAAATGTATATCCCACACATATTTCAATTTTGCTCAAAAGTTTAAGATACGTCCCAACTCTCAAAGTCCTTTTTCAGCCATATTGATTCTTGTGGCTTGGATGCTTTCTCTACAATACCATTCAATTTTAAGTCAGTATTTGTTTGTTTATTTATTCTGGGATTGTGTATAAAAATTACAATGTATGTTGCAATATAACCAACAATTTTAAGAGTGTAGGCAAGGTAAAATATGAGTGGAAGTATATACTGATCCTAACATCTTTGGATACATTATGAAAACTAATCCTCATAAATGATTGGGAAAGAAGGGAATATGTATTCTCTGTGTAGAGCTCATTTATAACTTTGATATAAAAATAATCCAGCGTTATTTTTTGTAGAGGTTAAAAAATCTGTTTATAAACTTAGTTACTAATTTTTTTAAAAACTATCAATACAAGACATAAATAAAACACACTATAATTGTATTAATTTAAAAATGGTTTTAAAAAATGAGATCTCTCAACTTTCCCATTTTACAAAAATGTTTTGTTTTTTACTCTAAATCCTTCAGTTACATGTTAGTTACTTTGTTTTTCGTGTGGCTAATGTATGTGCTGCGTATTTGCTTCCATGTAGCTCAAGACGATGAGAGTGCGCGCCGTGTCATTGCGGACATGGAAAAGGCGCTGCGCAGGCTGCCGGAAGGCGAGGAGCCCACTGAGAGCACCTCTGGATACACCACCCATTCGAAGCCCCACGACTCCCACTCTGTTTCCACTTCGGCTTCCACGCGCAGCTGCGACATGCAGGCTGACAAGCTTCCAGAGGAGGTGGCCCAGCAAGCGGCTATGATCAGGGCACTGCAGACCGTGCCTGCACTGGCACGCAGAATTGATGAGCGAACAGAGGCCATGAGAAGGAAGGTTTGTGTTGTTGATAAAATAACCATTGGTTTGTACGCTATTATTTATGAAATATTGCTTGGGCAAATTTCAACAGCCATGATCTAAATAAAATCAAACTGAAATCGAATTGAATCTGTAAATAAACCAATTGAATAGGTCAAACTAATGATGTATTTGTGCTTATAGCACACAAGAACTGTAGCATCAAAAACAAATATTTTGAGTAGATAATTGTGGTTTCATATCATTGATGATCACATTGAAGATATTGTGAAATTTCTCTACTCAATATCTTTTGTTAGTTAGGAGATAAAACCTGAATTTATTTTGTAACACATATTAACATATGACAAAAAGGACAAAAGATGGATTTTGACTATGTTTTGACTGTTCTGTGACACAATTAAAGAGAAGTAATCAGTAATTTAGTACATCCAAACTCCATGATTTCAATGATTTCACCAAGTAAAATAGAAAAAATGTGACTGAGTGATGTAAATAATTCCAAAACATCAAAATGGACTTTGTGGTTTCACCTTTATTTCAATATATTGTAAGGATAGTGATAAATTCATGTGTTAGATTGGTCCTTCTTCAACCTGTAGAAAAAATGTAAATGTAGAGCAGATTTCTGATAGCGCCTGAATTGTGAAAAGGGGTGTTTGACTTCTATTATTGATACAGAAAAGTTTTAAACTTTGGAACTTTGTAATACTCTGAAAGAATGATTAATCTTCCCTTGTGTTACAAAGTATGAGATGCGACTAAAATACACTTCTATATACTGCATCGATTAGTACTAAAATAATTCTAAACTGCGTGGAGCATAATTATCTTGTTCAAACTGCACGGAGCATAATTATCTGGCAGGCCCTGGGTATTTATTTATGACAACATTCTGTTAGAAGAGGAATGAATTCTTTCTACAGTGAAAAATGTCAGTAATTTTATATCCATCCCCGACCCCTCATTTGAGCTGTATTGTGCTCTCCTAACAAACTCTCTGTCTACTTCCACCTTGCTATGACTGGCCTTGTGCCCGGAGACGATGCAGGCGTCAACTGATGTCACGACAGTGCCTCTGACCAGGAGGTTCTATGGTTACACCTCCAACGGTTTGGCAGGACTTTTGACACTAGCTTGTCAGCTGGGTTAAATTAATTCCGGCTGGAAGAGAATTCTAGCAGCCGGCTGCTCTGATTGGTAGTTTTCTGTGGTTTCTCCAATCAATACCAGGCGAATGCCAGAGCAGTATCCTAACAAATGGGCCAAGGGCCACACACACTCTTTCCTTCTCATTCCTTGTCCTATCCTCACCCTTATACTCGCAAGCAGTTCCCTGCAACACTTAACGGGAAACAGAGTCAAAGAGCTTAGAGCTTGTCCCAACTTGGGTGGTGCTATGCTGGTGGGAAATGCTTGGATTGGGTCAACCTTGCTAATCGATGGTAGGTCAGCCCCTGATAGTGGGGGAAGGCCACCGCTTCTTATGGAAAACATATTTACTACATTTATGGGACTAATGACCTTGGTAGTTGACGTGCCCGGAATCACTGACAATTGATCCATCAGTCAATCTGCCCATCCCCTGCCTGTAGTGTTGGCGTTGTTAACACTTCCAACTGCAACATCTCATCCCCCACCCCCTTTTTTTTCCTATACCACTCGAAAATACTTGTGTATAATTTTGTTAAAATTACTGCAGGTCTGCCGGAGTTGTGTTGGAACAAACACCCGCCTATACTTTCATTTTTATATATTAAGAAGATTAAATCTTTTCAGATTGTTGAGTCTCGGACTCGCATATCGGTTCCTGCTTTTGCTCCACCACCACAGGAATCTTGCACGAGTAGCGTCGAAAACATTTTGCGTCTGCAGAGGCACGTGGAGAGCAGCGGTCACCAACTAGAAATCATGTGCCAGGCTATGGAACAAACTTGTGATATTTTGCGCAGTGAGCGTGATGCATTGCAAGGGTGAGCTTTAGTATATTGGATTTATTGAAATTAAGCATATGATAATTGTAGAGTACCAAAAGCATAGCATTGCAAACAAAAGAAACATTAATGTGTTTTTTTAAATTTACATTACAAGCACGTTACTACATGAAGTTAGTAAAAATAATATTTCTGGCGTTGCTGTTACACAAACAGAATAAATAGAAATATTTTTTTTCTGTATAACATTTATTAAAAAATATTCTGGAAATTTGTTGTTTTGTCTCAAATTATGCTAGGATTTATTTAACCATGCAATTTCCATAAATTAGCAGTTCATGGTTTCATTCAATTGGGAGCTTGAACTTTCCATCAGTGACGTCACAGTAGGGACATATAAGCTGCCGTTTGGATGAAACTGCAACAGCTGATTTATGTTTGGTGCACAACTAAATAAATCATACTATAGTGTCCTCAACTATAGACATCAACCACTTATGTTGTCTATTCAGTCGTGTGTGTGTGTCTGGTTTGTATGTGAGTGGGGAGAGGGCATGGAGGGTGATTAGCACTTAGAAATGATTCACATTTATATCACAAATGTTGGTTCACTGAGAATTTTTATTCCATGATATTTTTGTCTTCTTGAAATCAGTGAATTAATGTAGTGTGAATGCAAGGAAAATAAACTATGAAACTTCCTTTTAAAAAAAAAATATTATTTAAAGTGAGTTTGAGTTCAAAACTGTGAGGAAAGTAAACAATCCAAGCTATTTAATATTCATGGCATGTTTATATAAGTTTGATGACTTAATTCACTCATAATATTCTCATCTGCTTTTCAACATGATGTACATCAATTCTCACAGTATATGTGTAGTTTTGTTATCATGACAATGAAACCCTCATGATACCATCTTTAACCTGCTCACACTGAACTGACATTGAAGCATATTAACTGCTGAAAATCTTCATATGGCATTTGGAAGAATACATTTCACAGAGCAATGCAATCTTTAGCAATGCTCAACTGTTTTAGAACATGTCAAAAGAATTACCTGCTGGCCTGAACAGATCATATTGATTGAGATATAGGCATTAGTCTTGCAAGTGATTAAACTTACATTTCAGAACCCTTAGTTCACAAGTCTTGAACTTAATATAAAAAATCATTACTTTAATATTTCATTTATGAAACAAATAAGTGAGAAAACTTTTATATGTGCATTTTTTTCATTACATACCATAGTTTATTTATTGAACGAAACTAAAAATCAATCAGTATCAATCAATAATTATTGATTTTGTGTTTTCATTTCTTTCAAGTGCCTATTATAATGTACTGGTTCAATTGTATGACGTCTTAATTTTCTTTATGTTTGTAATCTTCATCTATGTTTGAGTAAAAAAGTAGAAAAATGAACATATGATGAAGGTCTTTTGAATGTATTTCTGCAGGAGTGTGGAAAATAATGAAACAATTTCTTCCAGGAAAGTGGAAGAGCGGGACAAAAAGTTACGTGTTGCAAAGAGCCAAGAGCAGGACTTTGTAACAACTGTCACTTCCCTCCGAACTAACCTGGAATCTGCCACTCGGAGAGTGACGCAGCTTTCTGTTGAAAACAAAGTGCTGAAGGAACAAGTAAAGGTACAGGAAACTTTATGTTGTGGGCCAATTACATGTATTTGCCTTTTTGTTGCACTAGATAAAATATTTCCAATGTTGCTCTGGAATAAATATCTCTTTAACCCTCTTAGTGCATTGATATTGATTGAACATGCAGTTGTATTAATAATTTGATAATAATTTATTTGCCCATATTAACTTGATAATACATGTCTTGTAGCATTATCATTCATGTGTAAACATTCAAGAGTTATTCTTTCTCTTACAGTTTTCTACAGTCATTTTTTATGTTAAAACTTCTGGTGTAATTTAAAAACCTGTTTCTCATTGTTGAAGTTACGGATATTTTTGAGAAATTGAAAAATTACTGACTTGCTAACTGCACCAAAGTAGGGTCTAGCTAGTAGCATTAGGAAGATCATCCCTGGTAGCATTAGGAAGATAAAGAAATTTAAAAATTGAAAGTTTATTTAAAAAAGTGTGAAAATAAAGATGAAATTGAAAATTTAGGAGATTGAAATTTGATTGTTTTTATGTTCATAATGAGTTGTTGCATTTCTTTGCATAAAAAATTGTATGAAAACAAGTGGAAAGTTTTTAGAATATAGAATTGTGAAAGTGGCAAATTTAGGAGAAAGCTAAAGCCTACTAATGCCATATGCCAGCGTCTTTGTGCTTGACATTTGAAAATCAGATGGTGAAACGACCAATGAGGTACTAGTGATGATCAATAATATCAGCTTCTCTCATCATATCATCATCATCATCATCATTACAGATGCAATCACTCTGCTAGCCATTGATCTACGTTGTTACTCTTGTTTTATTGTACCAGCTACTGAGAGATGGAATAGGCTTGTTGCCAAAAAAAAATTAAAACGAATTGTTGACCAGGAAAGATGTATATTGTACTGTTATTCCAAGTTCGCGGGTTCAAACCTGATCGAAGTTGTGGATTTTTAAAGCGAAAAAATCCTTTGTTCGCCTTTCTTCGGAGGGGAAGTGACGTCAGCTTTCCCACGTTAGTAGATTTACTTAATGTAAAAGATCCTCAAGCCTAAATGAAGCCTCTTTAGATAAATTCAAATCTCCTCTTTAGTCGCCCACCTCCTTTCTCCACTAGTTGGTGAAAGAAGTGTAGTGAAATTTGCGTGGTAAGACGGAGAAGCAAGTCTCATGGTCTGAGTCTCACCATGTAAAATAAAGCTTCAATTCAACCAAAGCTGCAGCTTCTCCCCCATTACTAGGGTTGGCTAAAATTTTACCAGCCCAAAGAAAACCATAACCTTTTTTGTTTTTTTATAAAGTTAGTGGAATAATATTTTAAATTATTACAAATAGAATAACATTATGCATAATTTTATGTTTCAAAATATTCATTAAAATCTCAAATTTGATCACAAAAAATGCTTATAAACCTTCATTACATAAATTTTTTATCGACTGTCAAGGAATATTATGAAAAGTATCTCTAACCTCTTAACTCACTCCTTGGACTGTCAATTTAAGGCATTAAGAGCTGGTGCTCCAGCTTGTAAGGCTGGCAGAAGAAAACATTTCAAAGAGCGTTGCAGTCTTGTGTGATGCTAAACTGTTTGAGAACCTGTCACAGACAGCGTCTTCTGATCTGAATAAGGCTGCAAAGAATGTAATAAAGCCTTATCTAAGTTACAGGTTTAGGCACAAAGGAGTTTGGTATGTGATATAGTTCATCAGAGAATTGACGTACGAGAGTCAATCATTATTATAAAAGCTTGTTTTAGAGCAGGAGACATAGAAATAAATGAAAGCTTGAATAGTGATGCATTATTATTTGTGATTGTTCCTGATGAGGCCAAACTCTCAGAAAGGCACTTGAACCTACCATTTCTGGGAGAATGAGAAGAAAGATCTATATGAAACTGGTGGCAGATTGAACTACACTGTGAGATCAAAAATATCCAATCCCATGGCTGAAAATGACGTACCAGTACATGGCACCCTCCATCAGTTATGCTGGAATTCAATAGGGTTCACACTTAGCCTTGATGATAGCTTCCATTCTTGCACTCATACTTCCAATCAGGTGCTGGAAGGTTTCTTGGGGAATGTCAGCCCATTCTTCACAGAGTGCTGCACTGAGGAGAAGTATCGATGTAGGTCTGTGAGGCCTGGCATGGAGTCAGCTTTCCAAAACATCCCAAAGGTGTTTAATAGGATTTAAGTCAGGACTTTGTGCAGGCCAGTCCATTCACAAGGATGTTATTGTCGTGGAACCACTCCGCCACAGGCTGTGCAGTATGAACAGGTGCTCAATCGTATTGAAAGATGCAATCGGCATCCCAGAATTGCTCTTCAACAGTGGGAAGCAAGAAGGTGTTTAAAACATCAACTTAGGCCTGTGCCGTGATTGTGCCACACAAAACAACAAGGGGCCCAAGTTTCCTTCCTGAAAAATACGACTGCATCATAACACCATTTTGGATGTGTCTAGATACTTTTGATCACGTAGTGTAACTTACAATTTTGTAATCTAGATGATACCCTAAGTAATGTACGTAATAAGTCATTATTTTGTGTCCTCTGCTGTAGTAGGTTAAGAAATTTAAAAATAGAACTACCTACCAGGTGGCAGTGCCTTAGGTGCTGTTTCCCTTAATCAGGACCCTGTGTTTGCACCCTTGTCCTATCCTTCTACAGCTCCTGCCGTGTCTCCAGGAATCAGATCTCAAAATGAAGCATCTCTCTGCGGAACTGAACTTGCTACGTGAAGAAGTGAAGGTAGTGTGCGATGTTTACAATGAAAGCTACCTGTACCGTAACATCCTTCATTTGTTCCCATCTCGTGCACCTCAATGCTTTCCTTCCTCACTGTAGGACATTCCCAGTCTCCGAGCGTGTCAAGTCAAATGTAGGCTTCTGACTGAAAGCATCAGTAAACTCGAAGAAGAAACCAAGGTAGCGTTTTTGTTTGGCAGTTGTGTATTAGGAACATTAGTTTGGTGAGTTATGCAAGTATTAGACATTCAGAGGTCTTGCAAAATGGTCTACAAGACATGTTGTTTTCAAATGTCTTTACATGGGTCTCTTGCCAGTTGTAGGATGTCAATGTTGCGTAAATACTTGCCGGTTAACCCTGTCAGTGTTAACTGGCAAGTGTTTACATATCACTGATGGCACTGTCATCTAATAACTGGCAAGAAACACTGCCTATGTAGAGGTTCCTTTATGAAAGCAAGTATTCAATTAATTTAAATGTAGTGAAGATAAAAATGCTCTCTGAATTTAAGTGGGAATAGCAAAGAATTCAAATGGGTTAATTAGCAATATGTCATTACTTTTAACAGTTTTCTTTGTTTCACTAGGAAATTCCAAATCTGAGGTACATTGAAGAAAAGTACAAGCAAGTGTCAATAGAAAATGCGAAGCTTAAAGAGGAGAACAAGGTGTGTGATCATTTTATTTGTTTGACATTTATGATAACAGCATTTACTTCGATCCTATCAATATTTCTTCTGTTGCTTAATGATAATGATGAAATATAGTTAATAGATACAGGAAATAATACTCCACAAACCATTTAATTCTTCAACTCCTTACTTGTTTCATCAGGTATCAGTGGCTACAAGCATATATTTCAACAACACTTAAATTAAAAGTACACAAGATAAATATGAAAAAATAGAATAGTTAACGAGGAAAAAAAGTAAACTTTTCCCCCCGAAAAATATGGGATTGATTTTGAAAACACTGAGATTTAAAGGAGACACCATTCTTTTGTCTGCTCTTAACCCTACTTCATAAAGATTATCTGCCTTTAAATCTTCTGTGTTTACAACCCATGTTATTTGAAAACATTTTTTAGTATATGTAAATATTTATTTCTATCTGTTTACAAATTTTATTATTTGATCTTTAATTTCATTTTTTTTTCTTCCTTTTTGCAATTTTATTGATTATTTATTGCTGAAAGATTTGTTTGTAGCCTCCGAGGATTGGCCAAATATTCCAAAACAAATTTGGAAGGTGAAGAATAAAATTGTTTGAGAAATATTATTTCCTCTATTACCAGATTATTTAATTTTTTTAATTACCACAATGGAATTCCCCAAGATTTCTGCTGGCTCTTCAGAGAAGATTAATTTTAATCTGCCATTTTTATCTGTTAATAAATGTACGGTGACTTTCAACAAATGTGTGTAAAAATGTTAGCATGATTTCACAAATAATATTCATGCAACTTTTCTTGAATAAAGACCTGTCAGAATGCTTGTAGACAATATTGGCCACTAGAGTATTTGAAGCAATGCCTACTATTGGAAAATTAAAATTAAACCTGCATGTTTTGTGTTGAGAGTGTACTACAGTGTGTGATAAATTAGTTTCCTTGAGCTTTACTATTTTTATTAGGTGTTTCTGGAGAATTTAGAAGATTATTGGCTCTATTAGTCTTAATTCTTCGTATTGTCAAAATGCTTGCTTCAGCATGAAAAGAAGGACGATCTATTATTAAGAGGATGCATAGGAATGTTGTTACCTTTTTGTTACTCGCATAGCTTTGAATTGTACTAAAAAATTCTGCAATTTCTTTTTTTTTTTTACATTCGAACTTTCTGAGGAGGTCGAACTGTCTCCTGTGAAGGACCTGGACATGTTTCAACTTTTGATGTTTCTGGCAAAAACACAAACAGGAGTTCTCTTCTGCAACTTCAAATTTGTCTTTAATTTTGTGTCAACCAAGATACATTTGAAATGTCATTAGTGCTCACTGACGTAAATACTACAAGGAACAAAATCACAAACAACTATTTATTCTACTGTAGAGAAGAAACGGCTATGAAGTGTAAAATTGTACTGCGTAGGTAACCTTTTGCACTCCTAATTCTTTGGGCCCTGGTTTTGGATTCTCTTTATTTCAATCACACTGACACTCTGGCTCAGTGCTCATAGAGCATTGGCAATTTTTAAAGTTGGGGATAAGAAGAGAGAAGGCATTTATCTTAAGAAAAAATGAAAATGAGTTTCGTTCGCATCACTATGTTTCTCTTCCTTTAATTTCCCAATAAACTATCTTTCAAATTTAAATGATGTAACAATAAACATGATATACCTTTGCATTGTTAACTCTTTCTCTAATGAGTCTTTTGTTCTTGACAAAATTTGTGGAAAGTGAACCAGAAGACACTATGGTTTCCCCATTTGGCTAGTCACTTCGTAGCCATTGAGCTATCATAACAAAATACGTAAGACATTTTGTTATGATAGTTATGATACCAGTTTTGTTTATATTATTGCAAATTTTCTGAAGTGTTAAACAAATTAGTAGCATAATAAATTGTCTAATGATGTGAAATTATACAACAATAGGTGGTGTAGATGTCTATCAATTGTTTACTTGTCAGTTATGTGCATTCTTTTGCAATTTAAGCAAATTTGGAGTTCAGAAAAGAACAAAAACTTTGTGACAAGTGGAACTCGGCTCCAGAGCTGAAGACCAATATTGCAATAAAGAGCATCACATTACATAGAAATGCAAAGGGATCGTATGAATATTTCTCAATGTCTTTAGTTGTCATTTCTGTGTGTTACTGTAGTTTCCTTACTTTACAAGGGTAAACATGAAAGAGAGATAAATGAATACTAGCTGAAATATTGACGATGGTATTTTTTAATACATTGTATCAGTTAAGGGTAAAGTCATTAATAATCAAGGTCCCTTTTAGGTTTTTTAGTTTTGTTTGTTTTTTCTATGTTAAATCTTTTCCTTTGATTTACTACCCGAATTTTTAGTTCATCCACAGATCACTTAAACATCGGTGATAATGTAGACAATGTATGTAATATATACATAAAATATAAATACAGCAGTACAGTAATCTAAAAAGTATTGGTGAAACATCAGGGAATTTAGTTGGTTCCTACTTAACCCTTAAATATATCATTATGACGCATGTAGTGTTGGTGCACAAGAAAAGAAACTCATATTGAAAACCATCATTTGTGTGCGAAGTGAAGAATTATATTTAGAAATAGACAATTTTTTGAGTAAAAGTTTCTTATAAGATGTTTCATAAGGCAGATGGCATTTAGAGTCAAACATTTTGTCTGTAACCACGAAGTAATGTTTGTAAGGCAGTTAATAATTTTGTTAGAGTTTTTATTATTGGTTTATTGAAAACCTTTGCAGTTCTCTAATGTATAACTTTTGCTGAATATATTTTAATACTGTTTGTGAAAATCTGATTTTCAGTGCATGTTCACAGATCTGTGCTTTTTTAACACGTTGCCTTGCTTTTAAACAGTCACACTTCTTATGCATCTAACTTTTGCCTGAATGAGTTGCTTATTGCATGTTTTTTCTATAATTTATTGTCTTCCTGACCAGGCAATCCCTGCGTTAAAGGAAAAAGAAGCAAAAGTTGCTGAATTGACATCATCAATAGCAAGTCTTGAAACAGAAAAAAAGGTATTTAGTGTATTTACATTTGTGGTGTTTGATTGTAAATAATGATAATTGATATTTTATGTTTCTCAGAAAAATTTTATGTGAAATCGCGCTTCTTATTGAGCAAAAGCCACTAGCAAGTTATCACTGCCATTTGTGAGAATTCTAGAGTAGATCTGATAATGACCAGAGTGCGATGTTCATTTATTCACTTACTGTAAATTGAGCTCTGCTTAAGGCCAAAATTAGTGCACATAATACGCAACATGGGATTGACTTATTTTTCTTTTTAACTTATTCTCTCTCCATATTTATAGTGTCAAACTTATAAAGCAAATTTATGATTTGGTACTCTTATCTCATTTCATAATAAGGCTCTGATCTTTTGCCAATTCAGTTACTATAAAACATCCTTGAGTATTTTCAACACATTTTATTTCAAAGTGCTGAAGACTAATAAGTAAAGATTTCTGTGTTCCTGCATTTTTTCTTTCCTACTTGAAATTGGGTGAAACCTTGATGGTAATTTGAATCATGAAAAGGACGTTATTTTAGTATGTGTTTTATTTTGCATAAAATTGCACATTTTAGGTATTGCTGCTTGAAAATTGAACATTTAAGATTTTGGACGAATTTACAAAATTTGTAGTTTTTTTTACATAAATATAATTTTTATATTATTAACTTGTTTTAATTTATCTTTTGAAAACTTTTTTCTTTAATGAAAACTTTATACGACGTAACCCAGCAGTACATTCCGGTGGTCTGTGAAACACGAGTGCCATTTAATATGTATTAATTCTGAATTTTATTGGCCTATGAACTGACTGTCTATACCTTTCATAATGCCTACTGTATGCATATCGTTACTGCAAGCCTGTTTTTAATTGAAACACGTTTTATGAGATTTGTTGAGAGATTCTATTTGAATTATTGCTGAATTTTAAGGGGTAGAAAACATTAACAACACCTTTACTTTTTTTTATTTTAAGTGAGCAAATGTCATTTTAATTGAAGAATTTATTTCCAAAGTGTCTTAAGTCCTGGAGGTAACCCCTAGAAATCAAATGTTTTGTTTTGAGATAATAATTTTCAAATTAAGAGTTCCCTTTCTAAAATATTTTTGTTAAAAATAGCAGTGTCAGCATTGACACTAGCTCTCCTACATTCCGTACTGTTGGAGTAATGATGTTTTGGAAGGAAAAATTATTGAATGGCATTGAAATGAGAATAATACAGATAAACACACATAATTTATGTAGTTCATACATATTTAATTGTGCTCTAACGAGAATAATTCAACATGACAATCAGATGAGTTATCTATTGCACTTATACATATAACTTTCTGCCAGAATGGTATTGGATTATGCTGCGCTGGAAAGCCTAATTTGTCTGAAAGCTAGTTAATATTTTTTTGTTTTACTCTTCTTTATTGGTTTATTTTATTTGTAAGTTTGATACCAACACTAGCATGTTAACTCCATTTTACTTTTAACTCACTCTGAACATACTAATTCTCTTTTCTCACTGAGCAACATACTTCTTCTTTAAAACTAAAACTTTAAAACTGCTGGTTTCTTACTTACAAAGAAAATTTTAAACCACCACATTCTCACAGTCGCCAAGCAAACACAAGCATTATGGATGCAGCGACGATAAGTCTTACGCAAGTTTCCAGATTGGCTAAGTAGATATAATGTAAGACATATCGGAAATAAATACAGTCGGGATATAAGACACTGGGAGGGAAAAGTAATTTTCAAAACTATTTAAAAAGGTGATAAGAGACATTTGGGAACAAAAATTGTTAACATGATACTTACATCACTCAAATGTATGTGTAAGGTATTGTTTCCTATAAAAAATTAATATCACCAAATTTGGATTTAAGACACTGGAAATAAGCTTTGATTGGTCTTTTATCTATTGCAAGAAAAATAAATGTGTTTGTTTGTGATGCATGAAGTTCGCTGAGGATTTATTAGCAAATGTGAATGTAAATATAAAGTAGATATGCAGCTAAAAATGAAAATAAGCATGTTGTTTTATGATTATTTGATTTAAATTTCGTTACTGTATACTTAATAACAATGCATGTCATCTGCGTTTAACAATGCATAATTTTTTATACAATTTTTTGTAATTTTTGTTTTTTTTTTTTTAGAATTTGGATGATAAAGTGGTGAGGTGTAATCAAGAAATACAAAGGCTGAAAGAATCATCACAGGTATGTTTTTATTAACCGAAAAATCTGAAGGAATTGATTGATGTTTTTCTTCTTTGATTCAAATAAAGTGAGACGTTTACAGAAATAACTGAGTGTTTCAAGATGGACAACACTTTATTTAATGTGAGATTTCCTTTCAATTAAGCACATTCAGGATAAAATGTGAATAGTTAATGGTAACTTAACAAGTTATTATAAAATTTTTATTCTTTGGTGGAGTTGGTAAGGTTTAAAAGTAGATGTGCTTTAGGTATATTTCAAGTTAAACACAATAAAAATTATAACATTCTTTTGAAATTTAGTATAACAAGCAAAGGAACACAGAATGCAAGTAGAAGGGAGTTTTTCAGAACTAATTCACTAGAGACAACTTGCAAACTGTTCATAAGATATGATGAGGCGTGTTTAGAAAGTAAGTGATGTTTTGGAAAAAAACATAAAAATTTGTGTTTCAAAACAAATTTATTTTTGCATGAAAGAGCATTTTTAAACTACTTTTATACATATTGGTTGTCACTATTGTTCAGACATTTGTCATAGCAGGAAACCAGGAAACCATATGCCCTCTTCCCGGAAAGATTCATAACACAAACAAAATTTGGGTTTCTGGTAGTAATACACTACATAGTAATATAATCAGATAACACAAATGTTTCTAACACAAACATCAATTATTTGGACCCTTGAAATTCATCTAAATGAGGTTTTACTATATTTGAAATCAGCCAGTGAATTTTCTGTGGTATGTGATGATTTTGTTTTCGACTTGATCTGATTTCTTGTTAGCAGACACTTCTAACAGACAAATTCTTGTTCCCCCTTGCTGCTCATTGAAAGAATGTTTCACTTTACTGTATTTTCATAATCTTTATTACTGTGTTCCTTCCCTTAACCTAAGCATTAAAGGTTGACAATTACAATGAACTATTTTGTGTTTTCAGAACCAAGTGGGAGTAGCAGAAGCTACCAAACGATTGACGCAAAGACTCCAGGAAACAATGAAGGAACGTGATGAAGCACAGCATGATGCCCAGATGTTGCGCATTGAGCGTGAGAAACTGTTGATTCTGCAACGTAACAAGGATGAGGAGTTATCACATTTTGTTCAAGACATAATGTAAGTTCACTATTCACGCACTGAACATTTCTTATTATCATCTCCATCATCCTTGGTTACTTTTCCCTTTCTACCAGATCATAATGAATCATGAATTCCTTCATGCATTGAAGTGTATCTGGCAGGGTTTCAATGATTTAAATACAACAATTCTCTCCCTGTTTCTCTGCTTCTTTTTTTTCTTCCCTTTTTCTTTGTCTTCTTACTTCCTCGTTTTTCTTTTCCATTTACTTTTTAATTAATTGATGTGAGCACAATCTTACAATTTTGTATTTTAGATAGATTATTACAAAAGAGGAAATAAATTTGAAATGTTTCTCTGAGATGAACTTCGTTTCTGATTCAGAAGATGTTCCTTTTCAGAAGATTATTTATGCAATCAAATTTGAGACCCTTGTGGATTTTTTACTTTCTCACACTTGCTTCCCTAGAAGAGAAATTTTCATAATCATACACCAGAAAACAGTGCATTTTCAGTATTTCTTATTGCCGCCCTGGTTATGAAAAAGTGGATATATCCAGTTGTTAAATATAGAAAACAAATTCCTCTAACATGTGGTGTAGCCAGAATCCATGTTTAGTGGATTCGTGATACTGAAAAATCGATTGAGGGTAAAAGGTCTGTTTGTTTGCGGTAAATGCTAGTGCTTTAACCATTTTGCTAATATTCTCTAAAATTGATGTTCCCCGATTGATCTAAACAAACTCAAGGCTTTGTGTGTTTGAAACGCATATTTTGACTTCTGAGGGTACATGAAGAGCCAAAATCATTCTCAATGTTTTCTCAAAAACAGCCCCAATTTTTTTAATAAACATTGCCCTCAGATAGCTTAAAAGATGTTTGAGAGAGAAAGGTGTAGATCTCCAAACTTTTTCAATGAAAATTGCCAATTAGGACAAAGTTTTCCTCTTCTTAAATATTCTTGAAGTAATATTTTGGTTCTACTATTAGAAAAACGGGAAATTGAGAAAATGTCAAAAAAAATGTTGTTTGGGTGACGATATATGGTAGTTGGCAAGAGTATATGGCAAGTCCCAATAGCTAGCCCAGACCGAAGAAAATAAAAAAACTAATAGGGGAAAGTCTGTGTTATTCTGTAGCACCAGTAGTTTGTCTAAGTGGTACATAAGCTAGAAACAAATAAAAAATTGACATAGCAACACCAATTTACATAGTAATAATTTTTAATTTTAACATTTGTTGTACGCAACTTTTAGAATATTAATTTAATGATTTTATTTATTTCAAATATTTATTTATTTTGAATTTACAGACTATAAGTCCACTTTTAGATTGTTGTTTTAATAATGTAATAATCAATTTATACATTAACAATTATTAATAAATGTTATTAATGATATAAAAAAATGGTTATGCAATTTTGCCTGTTTATTAGTGGCTTTATTCTTTGAAATTTCTTAAAGAATACAGACAGTATTCATTACAATACATCTATGTTTCATAAATCAATACAGTCACTTTGTTAAAATTAGAAATTAATGAATTTGTGTTCTGCAGAAACATCAAAATGATGGTAACCGGGCAGCTGAATATTCTCAAGACCAATATGCCGCAGATGACTCCTCCGGGATCGATTTTGGATCTCCTGAACTCTAGTTCGGAGTCAGAAGAGTTCACTTCAGCTTCTCAGTGCCAGCCTGTTTGCTCCTCACCGACATCTACTGCATCAGGAGCAGCACCGGTAAGATGCTTTTTCATGTGCATTTTCCAATCCAGTAGAATTTTTATTATTTTAAAACAAAAATAACTCGTGGAGAAAAAAAAATTGTCAACACCGTGCCAATAATCAGTTATATACATTTAAATTATATGAAAGTAGCAAAAATAACTAATTTTTGCACCTTAAACCAATTTTAGGCAAGGTTAGAAACTCTCAAAATTATTTTTAAACTTCGCCTGATTGGTTTTTCATCATTTGTTGTTCTAAGGGGTACCACCATTTTTTGGACCGGGAGTTGCTGGGGTTCTAGCCCTGACAATAGCAGGATTTTGCTGCATAGTTAGGTCACTTTCAACTGCTGTCTGAAGAGTTCTAGCACCAGGCAGCTCTGATTGCTAGTTTTCCGTGGTTTCTTCCATCAACCTCAGGCCGGAACAGACCCTAACAAAACAGGCCACGGACCACACGCGATATTTCGTTCCTGTTTCTTGTCCTACCCTCACGCCTACTTACACTCGCTTAATCTCCCTGCTCTACGCTCTCACACATGTCAGGAGACCAGTCGGGGGCGGTGCCCTACTGATGGGAGATACCTGGTTGGGAAAAACCCTGGTCAAGGTGCAGGTCTGCGCCAGATCTCACTATTCAATGGGGGAAGGTTTCTGCCATCTTCTGCATTAAAACATGCACCACACTTATCATCAATTAGTCAGAATCAATTCATCAATTAGTCAGAAACTTGAAAGGGGGTATCCTTGTGGCACAACACCCACCAGGTAACATATTTCAAATGCCCTTCCCAAAACAGACATCAGTGCCCTCGTCCAGAACAGGCTCAATGTGGCAGAGAGGGCCTATGGGGTTCCTCATCCACAAAATCGCCTTGCAACTAGCTGATATAGAAGTAGAAGCCCCCTCTGGTAGCTCACTTATCCTGCATGCGCCACATACAATTATTAACTTTCTGATTTAATAAAGTACTTTTTTTTTCTTTTTCAGGGTGGAGAAGTATGGGAGGACATCAGCACTATTGTCCCAGAACAAACTCGCTCATCTCCAGAAGTCTTTGTGAGAGTCAGCACTCAAAAAGGGGAGGAAACAGAATCTCCACCTGATTTCAAGAGCCTTTGTCGCGATGCATGGCACAGCCTTGCTCCAGCTGGGCAAGGCGAAGGGTGCGGTGTCCCTGAGACAAACACACCTCGGCCACGGACGGCGGTTCCGAGTCAACGGCCTCCTGTTGCGGTGAATGAAGGAGTAGGGGACACCCAGTGGACAGGTGCTGCAGCTGTAACACAAGAACTTCACCAAAATGTTCAAGAGCTGTTTAAGCTTATTAACAACAAGCCTGCAGCAGCGGGTTCAACAGATGCTCCATCATCTGGTCGAACAGTTACAACTGTGTCGTCATCTGTTCCCAGTTCAAAGCGTTCATCTGTGCCAGCACAGGCAACAAATAAGAACTTCCAGTTTGAAATCCCTCGATTGCCGGACCCACCAAAATTTCTCGAAACTCCCGAGTTTAGCGATTTTTCGTCTTATCACGGCTCTCTTGCTGATACTTCTTCTGTAGAATCGATTGACGCTGTATTGCGAAAATTGCAGAAGGGTGATCGACAAACAAAGGAGAAATAAATTTCTATAGAATATACCACAAATGTATTTTTAAACGAGTTATGTTTTTTGCAAAGAATGCTAATAGTATTTTATGATGTATTTTTATTTTTTATACATATATAGATCTTATAATGAATTTTTAGATACATAAATGAATTTATAAAACTTGCCATAATATTTGTCTTCCCTTTGTAATACTACATTATTTCCATGATCAGAGAAAACATAAATAGTTTGATCTCAGATTTTAAAATGCTTTATTTCTGAACCTGCTCTTTCCTGATAACAAGATCCCCCCCATGTACTTTCAAGATATGCCTGTAATACTGTTGGTGTTAAAATGATCTTTAATAACTCTGAATTGATAAAAAAAATAAATATATAATATTCTGAAAAGCAGGTTATTCAGTTCTTTAAAGATTATTATTCTTTGTGGAGAAACAAAATGTTGACAACCTTTTTAAGTTCTCCAGAAGGTCCCCAGTTTCTTCCCACTTGGCCAAAAACCAACTTTAAAGAAAAAAATAATGATGTAAACAAATTAATCCACTGTTTTTCAGAATATTATAATTAATAAATTGTAGAAGTTTCTAGAAAATAGTGCCGAAGCTTGAATGTGAACAAAACACATTTAGTACTCATGTTGGACTCGTCACCGATGCCACTACCAAACGAGTTGGCTGTGTCATTTTGAGTCACTGAAGTGATCGGCTGTTTGAGCAAGATTTTTCAACTACTTTTATACAAAGATTCAACTACTTTCATGCTAAGATTCATTTGATTCAAATTTTCCAACTGAAATGCTTTCTTTGTATGTGATGGGGTAGTGGCCATTTTGATGGGCACAAGCACTGGCTGTTCATATTTTGAGCCATTTGGGCCAGTAGGCAATTTTTGAGGGTGATGGTCTTGAGCATTGCTCAAGGTTATGTCATTCTGAGAATGTATTTGGCCAACCATATGGGTTAGAGAACCAGCTGATAATGCTAGGGAAGTATGAGTTCAGGGAATGCAGTGGGAGGTTAAAGAATATTTTTCATGAGTAATTAATTTACATTGGTGCAATATACAGTTGCATGCAAAATTATCCGCCCAACCATATTTTTATATTTAACTATGGTTTAAATAGTATAAAATGAAAACTGCAATATATCATTGTAAAGTAGATTTATTGTGCTACATTACCACATACTCAGATAATTAAATACAACAATCAATAATTATTTAAAACAAAAACAAAAATATTTGATTCTCCATAAATATCCGGCCAAAATCTATAAAGGTATTTTCTAGTCGGGAAACAATGTGTTTTGCTCCGTGTGTTATGTAAACATTGAGTAAGCTGTTTATTCTGTATTATCCGATCAGTTATCATTCTCAAAATGCCAAAACGGACGTGTTTAGACAAACGTGAATTAGTTTTGAAGCTACACAATGAAGGTAAAACTTCACGTGAAATATTGTCTACTTTGGCTATTGGAAAATCGACTGTTAAGGAATGTTAAAAAAATCACATGACTATATAGACTAAAAGCTGTGCATAAAGAACAGCTGACGCACTAAGACTAATTCATTTCTAAATTCCCCTACTGGGAGAGGTGGCTCAGGGCATCAACTGATGTCACTGCAGAACCTCGAGCTGGGAGGTCCTAGGGTTACACTCCCCACGGAGGCAGCATTTTCCACACTACCTACACAGCTAGGTTACG